ATTTTAGACTGAGCAGCCCAATCACGTGACCACCACCAGGCCCCACCCCTCACAACAGGGGGCGGAGCCAAACACAGAAGCGCAATCGAGGGGCAGGGCCAGCCACTAGTAAGTACCGGAGGGCTACAGCTGACACACAAACCTTGCAACAATGTAGGAAGCTTGCTATAGAGAATATCTGTGAAAAGTCAAGGCAACTGGACTTTCTGTATTTTACTTGAAGACATTTCACTAGTCATCCAACCAGCTTTCTCAATTCAGAAATTTCAGAATTGAGAAAGCTGGTTGGATGACCAGTGAAACGTCTTCAAGAAAAATACAGAAAGTATTTTTTCTGTATTTTTCCATGTGACCTGGATGAATGAACCTTCACAGACATATTGCTATAGAGAATCGGATCTCACTGGCCCCCCAACCCCCCTGGCATTCTCTGCACTAAAGTAGCTAACACTCTAATGTCCCCCCACAGTCACACACTATTATTATACATTTATAAAGCTCTGACATATTCCGCAGTGCTATACAGAGAAGTCACATCAGTCTCTGTACAGAGGAGCTTACACTCTAATGCAGAATACCATCAGCTATATAGGACTAAAAATCCCTGCAAAACATTATACAGCAATGCAGAATAATAGTATATGAATTTGGTACATACTTTGTGCTGCCGCTCTGCTCCGGGGTACCAGCCTGAAGTCTCGGGCAAAGGGTCTCAGAAGGGGAAGATAGGCAGCTGGTGAATGCCCGGTAAGAAGGCACCGCGTGATTCCCCAGAAGGCTGCTGCGTGGGACCTAACACAGCCAAATCAACGCAGTCAGAGGTGTAATGCAGAGTACAGAAGTCAGTGGTGTAATGCAGAGTACAGAAGTCAGAGGTGCAACACAGAGCACAGCAGTGTGGCGCAGAGGGCAGCGCTGTGACGCACAGTGCTGAGGTCAGCGGTGTCACGCAGAGGTCAGCAGTGTGATCTACAGTGCAGTGGTCAGGTCCCAGCTCACACAACTTCCGCAGGTTGCGTTCCTTGTCCCGATAATTCAGAAGCCAGATCAACATTGGCCGAGCGGGTTTCCAGGTGGTAAAGGGCGAGAGGGAACTCTATGAGCTCTTTCCACAGCAAACAAAGGGGACAAGTAAGTCTTCCCAAAGCCTTCACATAGCCAGGATTCCATGTAATCAGTGGCATTTGCCCCTTCTGTGCGTTCCGGAATGCCGACAGCACGGATGTTATTCCAGCGCAGCCTGTTCTCCACATCATCCATTTTCAGGGTGTGAGCACATATATCATGTAGTGCCGTTTGGACATCAGAGAGCAGTGGGGTTGTAGTGTCTTCCAGCCCACTCACCCTGCCTTCCAGGGCAGAAGTGCGGTCCCGCACTTTCTGCAGATCATGGCGCATGAAGGAGATGTCAGCTCTCATCCCCTGCACCTGATCTGTGAGAGATGTCAGCGCAGCGTTGCATAGCTGTACGGCCGAGAAAACATCTGAGATGGTAGGCTCAATCGACTTAAATGTGGCCTTAGATGCTTTGGGGCCCTTCAGGGCCTTAGACACAGTACTCACAGTCACTGTGGTATCATCTGGGTCCTCCGAGTCAGAGGCAGAGAAGTGTGAGTAACCAGGCCCCATATCCCTCTTAGAGGCTCGGTCTGCTGAGTAGGAGAGTCGGCGCGCCTTGGCCGGTGTGTCAGGATGACGGGCGAAACGCTCCAGTCTCACCGCAGCATCCCTGTTCCTGTCCCCCCCCCAGGATGCGAGCCACCACCGCTGCCGCCATCTTGGATCGCCGATTGAAGGCCTCTGCCGTCCTTTTTCTTTGACATCCCTCCAGTTCAAAGCGCGATGCCACGGCCAAAAGGAGCAGATCACCGGGGTCCACAACACGTAGGCAGTCCGCCGGAGAGGTGCACAAGGATCTGGGTAAGCCCAGCAGGTAACTTCCAGGATGAATGGCGAGAGAGCTCTCCGGGACACGTCCGACTACATGCGGCTGCTGGCCACGCCCCCACTCAGAAGGATTTTTAATAAATATCATATGCCTGTCTGCTTTAAACCCAGCAATACACTGAGGCAACAACTGGTTCACCCAAAAATACCCAACGCCAAAGCAAAACACAAGATGAACAACATTGTGTATGCAGTCCAGTGCAGTGAGGAGTGCTCAGAATTGTATGACGGTGAAACAAAACAGCAGTTACACCAGCATATGGCACTGGAGAAAGAGATAATCCCTCTGGTCAGGATTCAGCAGCATACCTACATCTAAAGTGGCCACCATAGACCTGCAGAGCCCACCATAGATCCTGCAGAGCCCACCACAGACCCCACACAGCCCATTATAGATCCTCTAGAGCCCACCTGAGACCCTGCAGAGCCCACCACAGAGCCCACCATAGATCCCTCAGAGCCCACCTGAGACCCTGAAGAGCCCACTATAGATCCTGCACAGCCAACCTGAGAACCTGCAAAGCCCACCTTAGACCCCGCATAGCCCACCTGAGACCTTGTAGAGCCCACCACAGATCCTGCATAGCCCATCATAGACCCCACATAGCCACATAAGTCCTTGTAGTGCCCACCTGAGACCCCACATCACCACAGACCCGACATAGCCCACCACAGACCTCGCATAGCCCACCTGAGACCTTGCAGAGCCCACCACAGACTCCGCATAGCCCACCATAGACCCTGCAGAGCACACCACAGATCCTGCAGTGCCCATCTGGGACTCTCAGGTGGGCTGTACAGGGTCCCTTTTCCTGCACACATGTGCTCCTCCACTTACCTGAAGTCACCTCCAGCCAGCCTTTGGGTCATCCCGCCCATCAGATCCTGGTAATTGGTATAATCATTTTTAAAAATATTTTTCTATTTTTAGAAAATATTAAACATTACATTTTTTTCCCTTTTTAAATCAGCCAATAGCACTTTGTGCTCTTCTTCACACTTTCCAGTATCTCATTTTGCTGCTTTGTTTTAAAAAAACCTGCTGTTTACACAACTTAATAACACAGTCCGTGAATGACCCTTCCCCTTCTCTGTCGGAAGTTTCGAAACTGCCTCGAAGCAGATTACTATTGCTGTGCTTTATCTTTAGATAATTTATAAATCTCTGGGAATCCTTTGTCATGTATTAAATGTTTATGTTTACAGAATCACAAATCCTTTGAAAGGTAAAATAGAAAGTATATTGTATATGAATTTCAGCTATGTAGTTCTAAACAACAACAGACTATGGGGTGTAATTTTAAACAATTTGCAGAGCCATTCCTCCTGCAAAACTCTGTAATCATTTATTCTGTGCAAATTTAGGAACAAATAATTGTTCTTAGTGCATTTTCTTTGTGTCACGTGTAATAGCAAGAAAATACCAAATTATGTTCACTAGATGGCGCAGAGGAGCATTGAAAATAAATACCTATTTCCTATGCTCCTCAACTGTATCTAGTAGTCATAATGCAGTATTTTTTCTTTTATTACTTTTACTTGAAAATAAGAAATTAAAAGTATAAATTAATTTATACATTTATAAATGTAGCTCATAGTGTAGCATGAACCAAACCACTGCTTGCTAGGTGCAGTTACAAGAGGCAACCACCAGATGGAGTTGAGTGGTTGTGACAGGCATAGGAGCACTTGACGTGCTCCTAACACCTTATGGAAGAAAAAAGATTTCACAAAAACAAGTGCTATATTCTGTTGAATATACTACATACAAAAACAAATTAATATAAAGATTTATGCTCACTTCCTGCCCTGCTGACAATGGCTTCACCAAGCAGGGGTGAGGGAAAACCTATAACAAGGACATGAACAGAAATTCTAGCGTACTTCAGTGAAGAAAAGCATTTTAATTTCTGTATGTGTTGCTGTTGGAGAGTTACCCTCACTTCCTGTTTACTAAAATGTAGTCAGTAGGACAGAAAGCCAGGGTAATCTAAAGTTGGGTACACATGCTTTGAATTTTTGCTGGTTCCTGATGAACTGGACAAAATTTGTTCCATGGGTGCCACAGTCAGCACCCTTCCGCCTGGCATCCCTCAATCATTTGATTGCAAGGATCTGGCTGTAAAATTTCTCGGCCGAATGGAACTAGCAGCCCATTTGGGTATTCTGACGGCGGCAGCCGGGCACTGTCAGAATACAATGCAAACTGCACCATCGCTAGTAAGTATTGATGGAGGAATCTGTTCTATTTTTTTCATTCAGCCTGAGGGTTTAATGAAAAAATAGAACCCTGCCTATCCCACTTCAGACAGCACTAAAAACCCTTCACCCTCCTGTTTAAAACTAAAAAATAGTTTGGGCCAGACTTTAAGGTTATGCAGTCTTTTTGCAAATGACAAAAAATTAAATCAGGCAAAGAATCAATGCAATATATGCAGAGTTTTATTTAATGTAGCATTACCCTCTATTTTAAATATGGTTTCTAATGTGTTTTCAGATCCTACTTCTGGAACTTCAGGAGACTGGGCAGCAGATATTGGCATCAAATTTTCTTATACCTATGAACTAAGAGATGAGGGCCAGTATGGATTCGAGCTACCAGCTGATCAAATTCAACCTACTTGTGAAGAGACATTCCTTTCTATGTTGTCAATGTTTGAATATATAGATGAACAATATCTAGGACCTATAATACCTCCTGAAGGTGGTGCAGTGGCTATCACTTCCCTCTGGCTTAATATGCTTCTCTCATTTGCTGTCTGCATATACTGTGCTCTGATACATTAATTACATAAGAATATTATTTATACTTATGGAAAGCACTTCAAAACATTTTATAGTGCGGTTATAATTGCAAAATCAATCATATTACCTTTACCCTTTTTCAATTTAGATAATACAATGGTACTATAGTGTTTAAAAGTTTAATGAAGCTTAGCTCTTATTTTACCTATTTATGATGCACTAAATATAACTGCATTAAAATACAGATTCCAATCTTAATGGTTCATTTTTTTATTAGCAGCATTTAAAGGTGTGCATTGTTTATTAATTTAATGGAAGTCTACAGCTCTTCGGAAAGAACCAACTCTGCTGTTAACACCACCCCAGTCACTGTATCTTCTGTACTCTCCAGGTCTCAGGTAGTACTGGCGTCCCTTGTAGTTGGGCTCCTCATAGAAGATCCAGTGTCCTTCAAGAACATTGCAGGAGTGGATGTCATGGTAGCGGAATTTTTCATACACTTGTGGGCAATCTTCGGTAAACTCCATCATCTGGCCTTTGAAGTCTTCTCTCTCATATACTCTAATCTTGCATGAAGTTTGCTGGAAGAGACATAAATAGATTAGAAACAGGTCTCTACTTTCAGAAAGAAGGTGGAAAACACACTCCTAACTGCTGTTCAGAACCCAACTGGATAGCTGTTTGGAAAGCTCCACCAACCACTCTGATGCTTCCAACATTTAGAGTTCTTCAGCTTCTATCAGTTTAAAATAGATAAACCCACTGAAGGGAGATGGGCTCCCAATGCTGGGTAATTCAAATTGATGTAAGTCAAGCAGTCCTAACTATTGATAGCTCAGAGATGCTCAGTATTGATATGCAAACAACTGATCAATTAGCAGCTTTCTGTGTGTAGATGTGACACAGTGTTTTGTATTTTTAGTGCAGGGAACACATTATACAATGCAGCCATTTTTAGAATTTCAGTATTGTGTCCTGACAAACTAAAGATAACTCTAACATTGAACCTCAGGCAGGGGAGGGCCAGCAGTGTTAGGCTTTGTTGCATTGCTATGTTGTTAGTCTAACACCGGTGTCATGCTTATGGGGGGATTGAGCACATAAATTCCTTAATCAGTATACTACTAGATCATGACTGTCCAATCACTCAAGAGCACAAATGTGATATGTAGCCACATGAAATCAGTACTCATGGTACTCTACACCTCCAGCCCATTTTTCAGACGAAAGTCTCATTAGGTACAGTTACCTTATTGTGGCACCAACTTATTTTATTTCATGGCACACCCTCAGAAGTAGCATCCATTTATTTTCACTTCCTACAAAATTCCTGTCATCAAACATATATTTTTTTACACATAGGGCTTCATGTATAAAATTTCCACCCAGTGTGTATGAACATTTCTGACGTAGGAACAAATTTTGGTGGACTACAGAAAGTGTACTGCACAAAGTGTGCTGCAGTACCACAGACTGTTGTGGCCATAAATAAATGTGTGTTGTGTTCATGGCTTATTGAAAATACACATTTTCACATATACTGTATATGCTAAAAACTGTACAGGGTGATTTGTAACTGAGGAATGTTTAGTTGAAGAAAGGAAACTGTTATTTGTTCATCACTGTTATCATTCAACACTGTAAATTTCCTTGATGTTGAAAGTGTTAAAACCCAAGTCTTCTTGCTATCGTGGTCATTGGTAAAATCAGTCACTGGCTTCTAACATATATTAATGACTGGAGTAACAGGATCACCCTGCTGTAAATCTTGCCAACTGGTGCATTTGTGTTGGTTGGAATTGGCTTTTTAACATAATCTTTATTGTAATGCCTATATATGATACACCCCATTTCATAGCAATAGCACATGATATTAAAGCAGACAAAACGTGAAAAAAGCTATTAGGGCATATTTCCTCAAACAGTTACCTGGGGGATAATCCTGCAGGATCTCACAGAGTCCCCAAAGCCCATGCATTGCTCAAAGTCAGGATATTCTCCCCTTTTCAAAAAAAACTGGCATCCTCTGTAGTTTGGGAACTCATAGACCATCCAGTTCCCATGTTCAACACGGATTGAGCCACATCGGTTAAAGAAGGAAAGCAAGTCAGAGCTATCAGCGCTACACTCATAAGAGCGGCCCTGAAAGTTTCTGTCTTCGTAGAAGATGATCTGGAGGGGACAAGAAAAATTACTTTATTTAAAGTAGTATAAAACAACTAAAATGTAATCAACATTTCACTGCCATTGGACTAACCACAAATGTAGAGGGAGGGTTACATTTCACTGCCACTGCACAGACCAGCAATGTGGTTGGGAGGGGAGTTTGAAATTCACTGCAACTGAACTGACCACAAATGTAGATGGAGGGTTACATTTCACTGCCACTGCACTGAGCACAAATACATGGGGGGTTAAATCTCACTGCCACTGCACTAAACACCAATCCTTGGGTTTTAAAATGATTTACTGCACTGGTCACTAATTGGGGTGGGGGGTTGCACTTTAGCACAAGTGTTGTGTGTGTGTCGGGGTTGGGGGGGGATCAACAGCACTGCCACTGACACTAATGCTGAGAGGTTATTAACATGGTCAGTGACACCAATGCTTGAGATTATTATTGTGTTCACTGACACCAATGCTGGGGGGTTGTTATTGCGCTCACTGACACCAATGCCGTGTGGTGTTTTACTGCGGCCACTTACACCAATTCTGGGGGTTATTATTGTGGTGACTGACACCAATGCTGAGAGATTATTATTGTGACACCAGTTCTGGGGCTTGTTATTGCAATCACTGATACTAACGTAGGGCATTATTACTGAGGTCAGTGACATCAATGGTGGGGGTTATTATTACTGCCACTGATACCAAAGCTGGGGAGGTCATATCATGGCCACTGCCACCAACAATGACTCCAATGACTATGAGATTCATTAAAACCAGTTGATTTTGAATAGGCTGCCTAACTCAATGTTATGTGTCTTAAGCAAAAAAAAACTCTTTTATTGTGCAGCTGGAAATGTAAGGGGTATACTTGAGACCCTCTGTTATTTTCAAGTTGCTCATCACTGGTCTAGGGGTAGAAGATTAGGCTATAATACTTACCTCATTGCTCGCTCCAGCAGGCATTCCACTATGCTGTAAGACCGGTCTTCCAAGTCACTTCGCTTTAGTGCTCCATCTGCCGGTCACACTCTGACATCATCACATTCAATGCAGGACCATCAGTCCTGCATTGAGCATTAAGACGAAGAGGGCCCGTCCACAACCCAGCATATTCCTTTAACCCTAGACGAAAAGAGCATTTAACCCTTGCACTGCTGCGGGGCACTGCAAGGGTTTCTTTTTTTTTTAAAGCGTAATATAACAGCTATGAATAACTCTACTCTACACAGCAAACTCAACCCAAATGCATAAAAGGTTCATTCCCCTTAAAAATATATATTTTAGTTTTCAGTAGAGTTGAGTTAAGTTCAAACAGCTTCCTGTTTCTTAGGAATTTCAATTATGTGAATACCAGTGAATACCAGTGGTGAGCCTGTCATTCTGAAGCCTGAAATACAGTAAATGTCTCCATTACAGAGATTTACCCTTACTTCCTATCCTGCTGACAAAGTTTTACCAAAACATGGGGTGATGGAAACCCCCCAACAGAAACACAGAAAGTTTTTTTTTTTTTTTTAGTAGAGCAGGGTAAGGGTAGAATCCCTGTTAGGTATCTCTGCCTGTGTCCCTGTTGAAGATGTTCCTGTACCTCTAGTCTAGTTAAAAGGTTTTCAGCAGGACAGAAAGTACGGGTAAATCTCTCTAAACATAGCCCTGGATAGCAGTAAAAACCTGACAGGAGTCCTGATCTTTCTTCACTCTTGTTTTCAAAATTGTCATCAAAGACCTGCATCCTTGCCAAATGTCTGAATGCACCATCTGCATATGTAGCAAAAGCTGCAAGATCTTACGGACCACCAGGATCTCTAGCTGCAGATCTATTTCACATTTGGATGCATTCATACCAATGGATGCTAGTTGTAATGCATGTTGGTGTGTGTCAATGCACCACATACACCAGTAAGTACCTGTGGTGATAAAAAAAAAAAATGGTCAGGTGCATTTGTCAGTATGTGGATGCATGAGCGTCTCTGTGTAACAAATACATACACATAGAAATACATGTATCACAACATGCATCAAGCAAAATAAGGTAATTTTCCCTCGAACAGTGATTATATTAAAACTTAAAAAGGGGGGTACAAGCTGTATATTCACTTTGCATAATGACCAAATAAAACATTTGATTACAGAGCATTGGTGTTCTACATAGGAATACTAACATATCAATTAGGGTTATTAACATATTTGTTTTTATGTTGTATAATAGTGCTAATATTCCACATTGTACGTGAGGTTTAAATGGATTAAAATAAAAAATGTATATAGATACTTCATATTCAAAATATGAATATTCAAAATTGAATGGTTATACGAACAGTTACAGTTATGCATATAGACGCAATTAAAACAAAATACTCTTTGCAACTAATCAAATCTGCAGTTGAAGGAAAACTAATTGTCTTTGTTTTAAATATCTTTTGGTGTGCTGTATTTAAATAAAACACAATTTTGCCGACCATATGCACTGTAATTATTATACTACTTTATAGATGGAAAAACATGCAAGGAAATATATTTAAAAGTATACATGTCATAAAAGAATAAATATCATATTACCTTTCCCATTGTGGCTAGTACTGGTGTCCAAATCACATTGTGTTCCCGGCAGTTGTCTCTTATATACTCTGCACAACTATAGGCTTTAAAAAGTGCACGAAAAGCAATTGAGGCCCCTTTCTGTCAGTAGATGTGAACCAGCTCTGCCTGTGTTCCATAGGGTGGTATGTATCCTTTGTACTTATCCATTGTTGGAGGGATTTTCATCTCATTGTTAATTAAGAAACATAATCATGTTATGAATCCATCAATAAATTAGCAGTGCAGCAAAGAACCAGCAATGCATGCAATGGATAATGAAATCGTGAGACACATACATACGAGATGTAATACTTTTTCTCAAGTTTATACTTTAAATCGAACGTATGAGGTTTTCCAGCAAAAAGCAGAAATGTATAACTTCTGTGATAAAGCAAGAGCATTGAATAAAACAGTACCGTATTTGCCGGCATATAAGACGACTCTGCGTATAAGACGACCCCCTACTTTTTGTGTTAAAATATAGGTTTTGGGCTATACTCGTCGTATAAGACGAGTATAGCCCAAAATAATGTTTAAATTCACTTATGAATCACTGCAGTGTGGTTTTGTGTATAAGGCCCCCTTCCCACTAAGCGACTTATCGCACGATTTCCGCCGCAATATCGCACATTTTTGCCGCGCGATATTGCGCGAAGTCGCCGGCCAATGCTATTTAATGGAGCTGTCTTAGCTCCATGTCGCCCGTCGCTTGTTGCTCATCGCTGTAGCCCCAGCAGGACCCTTTTTTTGTTGGATTTTGCGCAATTTTGCTATTTTTCAATGGAGTCCGACGGTGAAGGTCGCGCTACCGTCGCTGGATCGTCGCCCTGAACAGTCGCGCTATCCCGGCAGCGCGGATCTGCCGCTAAAGGTAAGTCGCTCAGTGTGAATGGGGCCTTATAATGAAGATTCAAGAAAGCTCCCATCACTCATTTTGTTAATTGCAAATGTTTAGCAGTGGCTTGTATCTAATGAAAGTCCCAGTGCAGCATGTAACAGAGTAATCATAGGATTTTGTACAATATGATTATTGGGTGTATGGCCAGCTTTGGTATTTCTTTTGCTTAGATTTCCTTTTATGCTTATTAACTTTTTTTTCTGAACAGTGTAGCTACATATTAGAATGGTAAGTTCAAAAGTATCCAGCTGGTAATTAAAAGAAAACTTGTATTCAAGTAGTTAAAATGTAGAAAATATAACCTACTCTATATAAAACATGATAACATACATTTGACAAAACTATCAAAATTACAGAATTCCACAGAAAAACAAATAACTATAATGTAGATACGTTCTTGTTTTTGTCCATATAATGTTTGCAGGGACATCTTATTGCATATGTATCTCATTTGTATCACAGGTTAGGCACGTTTATTTTTTATATATGCATAGTTTGGATTTCCCATATCGAAACAAAAAACTTTTTATTGTTATTTTATTTTATAACCACAATGGTAATATTATTGACTTTCCTAAAAATGAGATAAAATACATATGAACTTGTGTTCTTCTGGTAGTAGTATGTAGTCATAATATGACATGACCATTAAAAGGAGCAGGAACCATAGAAGCTTGTTGCCTACAAGAGCCCCAGTATTTAATAGTCATGGATGGCTCTACATGAAATATGAACAGATATTCATACAAATGGAGGTGCCTTCCCTATACAAAAAGTGACCGCTTTATAGTTTACTATTGCCATAGGCTCCTTTAAGGAGAGGCCAATGTTTCTTCCGGATCTTAAAAATTAGATGAGGCTAATTATATCTTTCTTTATTAATTACATTTCTACAAATAAACAAATTATATTAATAAACATTCAATATGTCCTTTTAATTGGGAGGGACTAAAAAGCATTTTGCAGCACTACTGTATTTACCTACTGTGCTTATGTTTTTATTTAGAGATCAGAGTCACAGCACAAATAATTATTCTGTAATTGAAATATGTACATTATAGTATTCTATAAAAACTATTTTATCACACACTACATGCATACATACATACATACATGCATACTGTACATACATAAAAGAAGTTCGGAATTGCAGATAGCTTGCCTTCCCAACATATCTATGTATAACCTCTGTTAAATAGGAAGACATCCCTCTCTTTATGCCTCTAAAGTGACCCTGCTTTATTGGACATGGGATATACACACTGTAAAAAAACAACAGCTTTACATTGGTAGTGTAGTCAAATTTATTAATAAAATTGAATGCTTTTCTTTTAGATATATGGATTTTTTTTATTAGAAGGGCTAATGTGCTAATATTCTTTGTGGAAACTATAAGGACACATCGTATACATTAATAAAACACAGTGATGAGATTTGCAGACAGCATGAGTAGTGCAAGACTAATAAATGTGGTGCATTTGTCCATTCCAATTAAATAGGATTCTTATTGCAGTGTTTTAGTGCAGTTTTCAGTGTAAAAGGTAAAATATCACTAACAGTAGCAATAAAGAACCGGGACTGTTAAAGGTCATTAGAAGATGTCTAGGGCTAGAGCAAGGAAGATCAAGATGAAGTACAAAATCTTGGTGCCAGGAAACAAAGCCATAGGACTACTGTATATCTGCATCACATAACCAGCTTTGTTTCCTGCCAGGACCAGTACCAGTAGTAGTGAAAAGGCTAATCATAATTTGCATGTAAAACTAATCGTATCACCTAATTCTGACAAATGTTTAGAACAGCAACAAGACTTTCTTTGAAAAATGGGGCAAACATGACACACAGGAAGCATTAGGAATCAGCAGACTGAACAATTATAATGTGGCCCACAGTATTGTGTAAAGTACAGGTTCCTTCTACAAGACTTTGTCATTAAAAAGTTTTAAAAAACTTGTTTCTGTCAGATAAGAAAATAGGCAGGTAATCCCAAAGCAGAGGACACAACAAGAACACACTGGAAGGCAGGGGATGATTATGAATAGATAATGAATAGACTTATAGTAAAAGGTATATAAAATCAAACCACGAACTAGAAGGCCAAAAAGAAAGAAAAATCATGGATAAAACTAGGCAAAACTGGAAACCATGGCCATGTGGTGTTCAGTAACTACTCTGTTTCCCCGAAAATAAGACCTACCCCAAAAATAAGACCTAGTACTATTTTTGGGAATTGCTAAAATAAAAGACCAACCCCGAAAATAAGACCTACCCCAAAAATAAGACCTAGTACTATTTTTGGGAATTGCTAAAATAAAAGACCAACCCCGAAAATAAGACCTAGTTGGGACAGTGGTGGCATAAGGGGGAACTTGAAGAAAGGCGGGAGAGAATCAGCGGTGCCAACAAAGCCAGCGCTAGAGGAAGCGAGGCGGCACCGGAGGGAGCAGAGCCGCATAAGCCGATGCCTCCTCTAGCGCCGCCTCCTGTCACAGGTGGAGTGATACCAAAGGCGCCTTTGAGGAATCAATAGTGAAAGTGCGCTTCGCTCATTCTGGCCAGTGATTGGTTACCAAATTGCTCTTGGAAAGGTACGGCACCCTTGATTGCCCTGACCACCATATTTGTTTACATGAATAAGTGTGGATTGTTGTACATTTAAAAAAAAGACCTACCCCGAAAATAAGACCTAGTGTATTTTTTTGAGCCCAAAAAAATATAAGACAGTGTCTTATTTTTGGGGAAACACGGTATGATCTGGAAGGAAGATCACATCACAAAACACACAAGCAATCTTTTGAGGAGGGAAGACATTCATAAATACCTCAAACAATGCAAGAACAAGACACAGCTGGCAAGAACAGACTAGAAATTCGGCTCTGATTCATCCTCTTGCCTAGGCTTCAGTTTTTGGCCAAATGATCAATGGGAGTACTGCACTGAATTACACTGCACTGTGTTTACCATGCAATGCTATGTGTTAAAATATGATAAATGTTCTCAGTTTCTTTATGGATTTATATCACTTTCAGTTTTTGCTGTAGTGTCTTCTTCGGTCTCAGAGACAGTTGATGTTTCTTCACTTTCTGAATCCTGTTACAAAAAAGGAATGGTAGGAAAATTATATGTATCCAAAATCATGTTGGGGCCACAACACACAGACTTATTATTAACTACATTTCTAACAATCTTCAAAAATGACACATATAATAAAACACACTTACTTTAGACAACTCCATTAATTTACTTATGGCCTTTTCACTGACCACAAAGGGGATATTTTTTCCACTGAACAATGTAAGATGCACTACAATTTCCACTGTTTGTGTTTCCTTTTTGGATATTAATATTATTATTATTAGTAGTTTCATAATTATTAGTAAAATAATGTTGTTATTGTATATAGAGAAGGGGCAATGGTAAAACAATGCTATGAGTGTCAAATAGACTGGGTATGTCATATTTATTATTATATTTACAACTAACTGATCATCTTAATGTTCACTGAGCTGTCGATGTAATACCTAAGCAGATATTCTCTGAGACATGAAAATTACTTCAAGAGTTCCTTTGTATTAGAAAGGTTAAGAAAGGCTAGTTTATAGAATGGCCACTAAAATTCTTAAGATAGTTTGCTAACAGTATAACTAAAATATAACTATAAATATTCTAAATTAAACTTTCTTTTTTAATTTAACAATGATTTATAGGTATATTTTATATTATTGTCTTGTAATATTCACCCACAGTTCAATTTTAGTTTGTTCACTGACGGACATTTGTTTCCCGAATTTTCTGAAATTTAGTAAAATCTATTAACACCTCTGTGATGATAATGAGGTCTGGTGGACCCCCAGAATGGGAAAGTCCTACTGAACACAGTGCCATCCTCATTTCTGCATAAGTCAGCAACAAAAACAGTCAGATTAAAAACATATGCCTGTGGTGGAGAAGGTGAAAAAACTTTAAAAATTCCACAGACTAGATTGAACATCCTTGAAAAGAATAACACAGTCATCTCAAGACACAAAGCAGAGCCATCATAATTACCATTAAAACATTCCAGTTAAAGCATCTTTGACAGGACACAGGACCGCTAAGAGTTATGCAGCAGTGTCATAAAACCCCAGCAGTTTGTAAACCTCACTTAAGCCAGAGCATGCTAACAGTTGTTCTAAATAGTTGTAAAACAAAATAGTTTGTTCAAATACACTTTGAGTCTGCTTTTTTTTAACCTGCCATAAACTGCCAGAACCAAACTCTCTATATATAATCCATAATTCCTGCTATAAAAATGTATAAGAAAATACAAACCAGACACCAAACACGCCTATATTACAAGGAGCAGAAGAGTAATAAAATACATTAGATCTCCTAAGCAAACTATGCATAGAATTTATATGATACTTAGGATGTTATTCACTATTGAGCCAAAGGATACAGCCAGTGACTTTGAAACCTCAGATTGTACAAAACCAAGACCAAGGGAACATTGCCAAGTACCTTTTCACTTTTAACCCTGTTTATTTTGTTGTTACTTACTCTCTGTTTTGTAATATATTGTCTGAAACATTTCCTTATACCATTTTCTTGTCTGTTCATTAAAACAATATTTTAAATCATTAAGCTGAATCTCAGACTGCCCTAAATCACAAATTAAAGGATCCTTACCTCTTTAAAGAAAGCTACCATATTGAAAGTTCTGTTACATTCTTGCCCATGCATTTCGGCAAGTATAACAGACATTTCTTAAACGTCAGAATTGCTACAGCGGATTTTGTGAATGGTGTGTGTATCTGTTAATACACATGGCGAATGCTACCATTTGTGTGTGTAAAGGGTTAACTGTGAAGTTAACCTGCCCCAGTGACGTTTACTCTCAGTCTGCTGGCACCTAGATTGTTGCCCCATGAGCTGGAAAATCTCTACACAGGGTGATGTTGAGCGTGTAATACATTGCACCCTCTACTGACAGCATATCCTGTGCTAGTGTCTGCCTCACAACCTCAAAGTACTGTATAATAGACCTGGCCCCAAATGTACCTGCTGTGATTACAGCCAAATAGGTAAATTTTTGTTTCATCAGACCCACTTTATTCTGAAATATTTCTGGCTTATCTAAGGGGTATAATTATGAAGCGGTGAATGTGACTTACCAAACATTCACTGGTGGTGAATAAATCACTTTCATTTGAAACACATGCCGTAGAAAGATTCACCTGCAGTGAATATTTGGTAAATGTCAGATTTGCTGCTTTAAAAATACACCACTTAGTGTTTATCATCATTGCGTAAGCAGCACAGCAGTACTGCATAGTTGAACAATTTGCCATCACTCTCAGGACAGCCAAGTCTTCCTGAAGGTCCTTTGCAGTAATATGGGCAGGGTTTTTCGCACATATGTCAAGTCTTCAATAGTTCTATTTTGGTTTTTCCTTGGAATCTTTTTTAACTTGAACAGTTCCATTTCCATGTCCTCACAACATACTGTAACGTACTCACCCATCCGCCGGTCCCGGCGCGTCCAGGAGTCCCGTCGGGGATCCTGTGACGTCACTGGAGCCGACGTCACTGGGCTCCTCCTCCTTCCTCTCCTTAAGTCGGTGGATCCACTTGCCTGGCGTTCGTGCAAGGTGTGTGACGCCAGGCAAGTACCTCCGCGGCACATCCCATCTAACCCAAGTGTTGGACCGGACAGAGCCCCTTCCACAGCGGCCAGGCATCGCCACTCTCCTCCCTGACAGTCGGCCTTCTCATCTCCTGAGCCACCATTGCTTTAGCAGCTCTCACTCCAGCTGGGACATCTCTGCTTGCGTTCCACTTTAAATCCACTGGGTGGCAGCAAAGGAGTGCTGAGCACTAACTGCCAGTACTTTATTTTGTTATTCTTCATATCCTTCATCTGCTTTTCAGTTGTCAATATTTTAAGATCCCCCATCACCTTCTCAGAGAAGCCCATGGTTGATGTTAGGTTTAGGCAACACTGCTTAACAAGTCTTACCAGCAGAGCATGTTTTGCAGGAAACTTCACATTTTCAAAGGTGGGGTAATAAGTGTCTAAGTAATGTAATCCAACTAATTCAGCTGTTATGGGCACAAAACATAAATTGTTGATGGGGCTTGGAAACGGGTTTGGAAAACATTGGTTTAGGGATTTTATTTATAGACTTGTCTTCACCTGACTTCAAGGCCTAAGAAGCCAATTACCGGTATGTCCTAAAACCCTACAAAAATAACACCAGCAGAACAAATGGAAAGGTGCTTATGCATATGTCACATTTCATGCTGTACATTTTTTCCCCCAAAATTTAAATTCAGCGAATACTTAGTAAATTTGTATTATGCAATAAAGGTATTTGATTTTCTGTTAATTCCCTTTAACCAAAACATATATTTAACCAGAGGTGCCAAACATTTTTATAGCTGTATAATTTAGTCTGCAATAGTCAGGGACTGCCTGAAGATATATTTCAAAACACTGAAACATGCTGGAACATATAAACTTGGTTTAAAATTGGGAACTGTTGAGTTGGCTTTAGGTCTATTAGGCATCCATGAAACCCAGCAAGAATCAGTGGTGGTGCATTATCAATGTTTGAATTAATCTCAGCAGAAAAGAGGACAAAGACTGGTAAATAAAGAGGTGCAAGGAAAGGTTTTCTGAAACTCAACCTTCAGAAAGTATCAGGCTGCTATGAATACTCCTACCCATGCCCACTGGAAGAGTAAGAAGCTAACACAGCTAAAAAGCTAATGAAAGAGATCCCTGACTGGAATCGGCTTATGAAGTTCTCTTGAATATCTCTATTGGTATTGGGTGGCGGCCAGGATAACGAAAGCTGATATCCCCCGAGACAGTCAAGCAAAATTTCTTAAAGTTTGGGAACCCTGGCTGAATTATGTGCTTCCCTCGAACACAACTGGCCTCCACTAATTTGGAATTTGGGGCCTGTTGGGGTGCCAGGCGTGTAAATGTGTGTCTTGCCCTTTCCCCTTTTGGTTCTTCCCTTTGTTTTTCTTTGTTTCTTTTTTTCCCTGTTTTTGTCTCACATGTATGTTTCCCCTTGTCCTAGTTTTGTGTTACTTGTGTTAATTTAGGAAGAGTCTCCTGTTATACTGTACAAGGGCTGCTTTTTCGGGCTATCTGGTACCCAAATCTGTTAGGACACAACTGAATATGTGGGGATGTACTCTCCTTTCATTTTGTTTAGTTTCTGTGTGATTTCGTACTTGTTCTTTGTGCATCTTCAATATGTTGCCCTTGCACAGGCTATGCCGGTTTATCTTTATAGTTGTTCTTGACAATAAGAATAACAATATAGCAGCGAAAAAAAGACCTGCTTAAGTAGAGTAAAACATGATAAATCCCACCATATCTTTGAAATTTGTTAATACAACAAAACAATTCAGCAAATAACTTTACTTTGGGACAAGATATGCATGTTAATACTGTGAATACTGATGCTTGTTCTATAGTTTTTAAGAATTTATAGTGGGCAATATTTTCATAGTTTTTATGCATTTTAGGGTTGAGGAGTGCTTGCAATATTAGAAAAGAGAAATAAGTTTTATTGCAACTAACAGTTTCCTTGTAAGTATGGTTCAATGCATTAGCAAAAATAAAAGATACTGTTCCACAATTTGTTTCAGTTGCACGAAAGATGATTATATCTGCTCAGCTTCAGCATAATTTGCAGATCATAGAAGTACAGAGAAACAATGAAAGAATATGAGATCTGGCAAATCAAGAAAACTCTGCCAGAAATTGACACTTTCCCTTACAGTCTGGTGGAAGAATTGAAGTTATACATTGATACAAGTCACCCATTTCATCTAAAAATGGATAAATTAACTGATGATCACACATTTATGGAGTATTGGCAAATTCTGTCAAATGAGCGCTTATTGGGAAAAGAAGCAATCAGATAGGTTGGAATAGCTAGTCTAATAACTATTGTCTTACTCCTGATGAGCCATCATTAGCAATGCCCCTCTCTTTTTCTCCACCAACCCTCTACATAGCATTGAACAACCATTTTTGTTTAGACACAGTTGCCTGTGGGTAGCCAGATCACGCTTGCATATCCAACCACCCTCTAATGTCTATGTTATCTTTGTGTTCCTTGGTGACAGTTTACTAACATTTATGGTAAAAGGATCACATATTAAAAAGGCAGTATAATGTGGAGGAGAAGACATAAAGACCCATGCCCTAACTTAAGGTTTAACCTCAGTAACAGGTTTGCTGAGTAATAAAAGTTGCTCTTCCTGTTATTGTAAACTTTGAAGACATTTAATTTCTTTTACATACATACCTGGAGATGCTAAACAATAAACATCGTTACAAGACTGCACAAGTTCTATATAATCAGGTAAAAGAAAATATAGCCCTAAATTCCAAAAACTAGAAAGAACACCATAGTAAATAAACAGCTAATTTGTCTTAAATGATTTTTGTAAGACATTTAATCACTTTCAATTAAATAAGTGTGATGTAGTTTTCTCTTGAATATAATTGTGAGTAAAGTCAACACAATAACTGCCCACTACTCACAGGTTCATGATGATCTGTTGCTAGAACTTTTGAGTTTTGTTCTTCAGTCATGCCGTTTTCATTTCTACCGAGGTACCTGCAAAATCTGGCACCTGCAAGAGAAAACAGCATTTTCATTTAGGGCCTATTCAACTATTCAGCTTTTTTTCCTGTAGTAATACACATACATTTGATTGCATGATATGCATTTCACATATAAATCTGATGTTTTTATATCGCTAGTTCACACCTATACCCTGTCGTTAACTGTGTTTTTAAAGTAAGACTGTAACAACCTATTACCACACATGCAAAAACACCAATGTATAGGTGTGAATGGGTCCTTAGGGAAAAATACATTTACGTTGTTTAGCAATTTAAAACAGAAACTAACGGTGGATGGCATTTGAAAGTGTAGACTTTTTTTATCCGAAAAAGCTTGAATATGCTTAGTGGACACTTTATTAGGTACCCTTGTCTAGTACCAGATATGGTTCCTTCTGCCTTCACAACAGTCTGAATTCTTCATGGATTCAACAAGGTGGCAGAAATGTTTCTCAAGTATTTCATCCCAGTCTGACAATAGCATGATATAGTTCTGACCCTACCACCTGCATGTCAGAATAGAGATAAATCAGATCAGCCAATAGTTCTCCATACTTCAGGTTTCCAGTTTTAATGATCTCATGCTCCCTATAATCTTTTCCTGTTTTAAGCTGCCAGGGGTGAAACCCAGTGTGGCCTTCAGCTGTTGTAGCCCATCTTCTTCAAGGTTCAATGTATTGTACATTCAGAGAGAACCTTCAGTATGTCTGTAGTAGAAAGAGGTTATGTGAGCAGTTGTGAACCTCCTTTCAGCTTGTACAAGTCTGGTCATTGGCTTTTCTTTGAAAGCTGCATTTGCCCACACAACTACCACTCGTAGGATGTTTTCGGTTTTACATTCTCTGTAAACTCTAGACTATAGTGCTTGAAAAGTCCATGAGGCCAGCAGTTTCCACTATGTTGCAACCATCATGCCTATCACCAAAAATAAGAGTAAAGATGCTTAGATTATGCATAAACAGGGGGACCTCTTAACTGCATCTGCATGCCCTATGTATCGTGTTGCATATCCATGATTTCTTTCATTGCAATATGCATTATCAAGCAAGTGTAGCTAAGAAAGAAGCCACAAACTGCATATAATTTAATACAGATAAGTCAACTTTATATGGGTAATAATACTACTGATGAAATTACAGCAGTGGGTTTCTAAAATTGTCACTGTAACTCGATATATAAAACCTGATCACTATGCAAACAATAAAAACACATTTTACATTTTCATGTTTGTATTTTATAAAAAATAAAATGGATTCCAGTTTTCCAACAGTGTGTAATTGTGTATAGTGATCAAGACTTCAGAGAAAGATTTTGAGAATCAGTTTTAAACTTCTAACTCCACACAAAAAAAAACTGTATAAAACGAGTTTTGCATCCTGATAGACATGTATTGAAATGCAAAACCTACCTGAAGTGAACAAAAGCCTGTCAACACAGGCCCTAAGGGTCTTATTATTTTCAGTGAAGCTTCTAGCCTGTATGTGATCTCAATGTCATAGCTGAAATAATGATCACTCCAACTGATTCACAATCATCAGTGGGGACCTGAACTCTCAGTGAAAGCCAAGACTTAGAGCCATCAACCAGCACAGTGTTAGCTAGTGGCTCTCAAAGGGACCCCTGTAACTGGCCAAATAACCCAAATCAGTAATTTCCTTCCATACTTACAATGCTTCAATGCATGTCTTGCTGCCTGGGGCGCTGTCAGCATGGCAGATGGATGCAGTGACAGGTTAAAGGGCTGGACCCAGTGACCCTGCAAGTAAACAGTTTATTTCAAAATGATTGTTGGTTATGTCATTTTACATAAAGCATGGTGACTAAAATGTGAAACATTCCATAACATATTAGGAACATAAAAATTGTTGATGTTAACATAAACAAGGTTGGCATAGAATCTTAAGTATGTAAACTTGTGTGATGGCCTACTTGACTTTATATAAACTAAATGCACTTTTTAGATAAGCAAAGACACTACATAGATAATCCTAAATTTTACTAATCTAATAGATTAGCTTTAAGGAAAATCTAAATGGTTTATGAACAGCTTCAGAATTGCTATTGTAGACCAATTTTTATTAACATTTTTTGAAATACCCCAACTCAACTGCAATGAAAAACTAAAATTAAATTATAACTATACATTTGAAATAGTCACCAATAAGACTGTTCAGTTGGGTTTTTTTTTAATACATATTTATACCTCTCACAGATCTCCTGAGAAAACTGTATAATATTTTTTGTATGTTACAATATTACAGTTAAAGATTAGTTGTGCAGCTCAGCTCTTCAATGTGCAGAGCATGTTTTTTGCATTTATTCTACAACATGTGTAATTATCTCCAGGCATTTATCATTGCACTGCTCCCTAAAATAGGTAGTAAATGGCATAATAGGTAATATACTAGAAGCCTGTCTAAAAAGCTCTATTTGTTCATTTACCTGTAATAGTATTTAACAAAAAAACATGTTTAAAATTTGGTTCAAGTTAGGATACACTGAATTACACATATCTGTGTCTATCAACATCATAAAAGCCAAGGTTTACCAAGCACCTTGGTGTGGGTCACTTAATCTTATGAGGAACTTTACCCATATTTTTAAAATGACAAACAAAGGCACCTTTAGAATGTTTAGTAATGACATTCTACAAATAGTTACTTCTAAATAATTGCAGGCTTTTTATTCTTTGCACACCTTATTTTTATTTTCCTCCCCAGTGTTCTCATGGTGGCCACTTTTACTAAGGGCAGATTAATTCATCTCCCTTTACTGTGACTATGACATGTGACCATGCACATCATCTCAGGGGGGGGGGAAATGCCTTTCCCCGAGGTCTTGCAAGATTTTGCAGTTTACAGATAAGGTTTCCCAGCTACATTTCCCAGGCTACATCACTAATGCCTAAGAGGATCAGGAAGTGGAAAACAGTAATTGTAAGTGCAAGGAAAATATGTTTGTTTATCCAATTAATATAGGATGATTATATATTAGCATGTAGAGCTGCATGCTGATGTGATTGTTAGTGAAAGGGGATAAAGGTCCACTTTAAGTATTCTTTGTTCCAGGTAATACTGTATATTATCATGCACCAACCAATTGTGTTTGTTTTCCAAACAATCCATTAAGTTTTTAAATAACTAACAATACTGATATCTAGTTGTTTTTTTTTCATATTCACATATGATGAATTTACTATAAGAAGCAATGGTACCCCCCAGGCCACATTGGTAGAACCCTTGGGGTACAAATTGCACTAAAATCCAGAGAAAATTTTCACTCAAACCCTAAAAAACATACCGGTGATTTATGAGTTTTTGTGTGTGTTTGTTTAATAGCGTGCAACTTATTCCTTGAAATTACAGTTGTCAGAATGCTAGTTCCTGTCTGATACACAAACAGTAATACTAAATTATTTCAAGTTGATTAAGGTAATTAAAATTTGTCATTCCGTTATCAGTTTCTTTTTACATTTTTTTTGCATTGTATTCTATTGGTATGCAATACCAATAAAAAAAAGTAACCAACTAAACATGTAAGAGTAGATCTAAACCTTAACTGGATGACAAAACATATGAAGACAAAAAGTGCCAGAAAAGACCACTCCACTGAAGGGTTCACAAGTAAAAGTTCTAGATGTTCTGGTGAAGGGGCCATGACCCCGGAAACGCATCAACGCAGGCATTCCTTGCTGGCACACAGGAAGGTCTGTGCAGCTCTCACTTGCCTCATCCTAGTTTGCTGCATAAGTTACATCCTCTGCTTTTCAAAGCTCATGTCTATCTACTCTTCTTAGTACAATTCTTATTCCTTGCCTCTATTTTAATAAAATCTATCTACACTAAGGAAGGCGCCCCTTGTTTGTGTTTTCTTAACCGGATGACATTTAAGCTGGTTGTACACCATTATATTTTCTTTGTTCAACCTGTGGACTGAGTGAAGAAATTACAGCAGATTCCTCCATCAATGCTTACGAGCGTGGATGGAGGAATTCCCTGCTGTTTGTATTGTATTACCTGAATAGAGTTAAAACCTGATTGACTGCCAGCTCCGTTTGGCCAAGAGTTTTCCAACCAGCATCTTCAATCAGCTAATCAAGAAATGCGGGCAGAAGGGTGCGGAAAGGGGCACCCACTGTGTGAATTTTGGGCTGTTTATCAGGAACCGGCTGAAATTATATACTTGCATAAAGTGCTGTGTATGATAAACTATTTATTTTTTTCCTTTAAAAAATACCTGTTTTCACCTCTTCTCATCCTTTTGTACATAGTAGCACTTTTGATCTTGAGCCTCTTTGCTGCCATTACCTATCCACATGCAGTCACTCTACTGGAGGATGCATGTCATTGTTCAGGATGGGCCTCCTGATGGTGACAATGGTATGACCACTTATAGTCTCTACCAGACATGCATGTGACATAGGGATAATGCAGAAAAAATTTGGGATGATAGGGATGGAGCATTGTCATATACTGTATTACATGAAATGCTTGAACATGGACACTGATGGCAGGATCACCAGAGACTATTTTAATGAAACCTGTAAGATAACATAAACATAACTACAAATGACTTAAGAATGTCATAAACTTGATGAGATTTGGTTGACTATATTTAGGTTAACCTTTTTTTCCCCCTAACTTATAATAAAATCAGTATTTGTGTTTTCTAAGAAAATACATTTGTGATCATACACAGAAATCCCTCTTGTTGTATTTTTTATACTTCTTAGGCCTGTTTTTCTGCATTAAAAATAACTAGTAAAATGTTTTTTTCAAATTGAGCCTGATACCTTGCTTCAGTATGCTCGAACCAGCTAGCACCGCTACCAATGGTTAGTCACAAAATACCCTATTAAATCTGCTGACCCCATGTATGATGCCTGACATAGTCTCTTTGTTTTCGGAATGCTACAAAGCGGATTTTGCCTAAGCATTGACTACAGAAAGAAAATTCTCCAATAAAGCGTGACAGTCTGTGTAGGTCTCTTTTGCTGAGTAAACTACTTTATGTGATGGATACAACTAGCTTGCTGTATAACTGCCCTGTTCATACACAGGAGTATATAAGGGATCCCAAAGCCACTGTCAAAACAGTGTTCAGTCAAAGCATTCGCTAACAGCAGGACAGCCAGGATGGGAAAGGTAATATATTTCACCTTGCTTTGTCTCAGGGTTACCACTGTGTGACAAAAAGGACAGCTTCAATATGTGACATTAGTGTTGCTTCACATTTATAGTAATTTTGTTTAACTCGAAACAGTTATAGCACAAAACCA